ATAAATTTGCTTAATAGAAATAAACTTGTTATTTTGAATTTTCATAATATTATTGGATAACTTGGTCACGCAAAAGTATGAATATTATCCTGATTATATATAAAAAATATTTTCGTAAGAAATATTATAAAATAAATACAAATTTAATTGATAATAATTTCATAGATCGTTTAAATCTTTTATTGGCTCGTGACAATACGATGAGACATAGAACGCGTAAAAAAGAATGAGAGAGAGTGTGACTGAGAGAGAGAGACAGAGAGACAGAGAGACAGAGAGAAAGAGAGAGACAGAGAGACAAAGAGAAAACCTTGTACACACACACATATATATATATATATATATATATATATATATATATTTAACAATCGTAATTTTTTCTTTTTCTAACGTATTAATCGAGGTGAACGATGAACGATGACCATCGACGTTGGCGTCTCGAATCGACCTGAATCAAGTTAGTCCTATAAAACCTGACATTTCGTATATGGCATCTTTACGAGTCAACCACATGGCTTATAATGTATATTTTTTTTTCTTTTTTCTTTTTTTCTTTTTCCCAGAAACAGTCGTTTAAGGATCATGACCTAGCTATAATTCCGGCTGCATTACTCTTTCGACATGACTATCTTTCTTTCTTTTCTTTCTCTCTCTCTCTCTCTCTCTCTCTCTTTCTATATATATATATATATATGTATGTAAATACATAAGATACACCGGTTGAGCCGGTGTTTTCTTCAATCCATATACGTGTGAATACTACTTACGTAGATAAGAATAAAGTCACATATAGAATTGACAAAACGAAAAAAGAAAGAGAAAAAAGTAAAAAGAAGAAGAAAAAAAAAAGAAAAAAATATAGAGAAACAGAAAGAGACAAAACAAACCAAAAACGAACGTAACAATTGTGAGAACAATTATGGGAGCATTGTACTATTACGTTCGAAAAAAAAAAATGTATTCTTGAAGAGATAATAAATATTGTTTATTATTTTCTACAAATGTGCGCTTACCGTTTGATCGTATCAATGATTTTAATCGTAGAAAAAAAAAAAAAAAAAAAGAAAAAAATAAATTGATAGATAAAATAGTAAGGAGCAGGATGGGCAATTACGTTTGTTAATGATAAATCGATGGTTAAATTTTATAGTTAGATAACTGTTTTCTATCACGAAACTACGAATGACTGCAAAGCCAATAGACGAGGATAACCAGATGGCTAACATTGACTATTGCATCTTGTACATTTCTATATTAAGATTTATTACGTACATATCTGCATCTAGTAAGAAACGTCACGATCACTATAATTAAGTCTGGAACCTTAAACTACTTCATCATTTGGCCAAATTTTATCCACAGGTACGCGTTCATTAATGACGAGAGAGAGAGAGAGAGAGAGAAAGAGATCTTTTGTATCAACAATAATTTGTTTTTATTTATTTGGTCGGTATTTCTATTGATTAAAAGGCATGGATGATTTCTTTTTTGTAAAATAAATAAATAAATATATATATATATATATATATATATATATATATATTATTATAAATACTAATCATAAATTTAATGTACTCACAAATTATTATATTTATAAATATTTTTAATTTAAATAGTATTGATAAATTGGTATATTCAGTAATATTTTAATAAAAAAAAAAAAAAAAAAAAAAAAAAAAATACTGACAATTTATTATATCTACAAAAATATTTTATTGAAAAAGATATTGGTGATATTAATATATTTAAAAATGTTATAATTAAAAAGATTTTCATTCAAGAATTATTATATTATGTTTAGAAATATTTTCATTCAAAAATACGTTGACAAGTTATTATATTTACAAATATTTTCCTTCAAAATTATATTGACGAATTATTACGTTTAGAAAATATCTTCATTTAAGAATATATCGACGAGTTATTATGTTTAAAAATAATAAAAAAATATAATTAAAAAAAACATTGACAGTTTATGACATTTACAAATTTCTTAATTGTAATAATACTGATACTTTACTATATTTAAAAAAAATATTTTATCGAAAAAAATATATC